GCTTTGGCCTATTAGCATTGAGCATATGCAGCTAGTTGTTGGTGGAAATGTCTAGTTAGCAAGTAAGGTATTAGGTGCTAGCAGTTTGCTTATCTGCAATTATCTGGGAAGTGCATGTGTAATATTGTATGGCTGCATTACTTTTATGGCCTATCCATGTTAAACTACTCAGTTAAGTCATGGAAATGAGGTAAAATATTATGGAAAAGTCATGTGAAAGTTTTGAAAATGTATTGTTAAAACTTGTGTTTTTCAGTTCATATTTGTGGCTTTAAGTCCCAAAACTTTGACATTTTGTCAGCGAACACTGTCAGCAAAAAAGAGCAAAGGAGCCTGATATCTTCTCAGGAGCTGATGGAGATCAAAATGGAGTTGGACTTACATTCGTCAGGTGGCAACAGTATCCAGACCAGAAGCTAATTTTGTCCTGTATCTGCTGGACATGAAAACAGCCAGATGTCAAACATGCGCGATGATTTTTAGCTAGTTGCTCCTAAAACTAGTAATGCAAATTAAAGGGGCATTAAGTAATTATTGGTTACCAGCATATCAAATCATCACTGGCAACCAGTAGGAAGTGCAACAAAAATGAGAGCTGTCTGACAAGTCATAAATAAAGTAATAAATTCAGATGATTTTTTTTGTTGTTCACGCTAAACACAATAAGAATATTGAGCGTATAGCCTCTATATGGCTCTTAATCAAACGGCTCAGGCACCTCTTTGCTTTCTTAGAATTAATTATCCATTTAGTCCATACGATATCAAACCATGTGAAAAAAATACCAAAATAAAAAAAAGCCCAAATAAGTATTCATATTAACTATGATATTAAGCAGAACAAAGTCTAAAAATCTAACTAATACAACTTGGCTATATCAGCTTATTGTCTCCATTGTCTCTGTCGTTGGTATCTGATTATATAAATAATATACCCCTGAGACCTGAAATGTTGTTTTGTATGCTTTTTTAATTTCTCCTAGCTACTTAGGATCAGTAGAACCTGATAAGGATAAAAACCTCAACACTGTCAACGATAATAAAGTCCCAATGTCCTTAAACGAGTACTTCCTAACTAACGGTGTCTTACCTTGTTACTGTTGCTAAAATTAGTCACATGTGTATTCCATGTCAACTACAAACATTATTAGTCATGAATAAACAAGTTTCAACCATAAAATGTGATCAGGTTTTGGACCTTGTCCTCTTTTGTGTCAGGATTAGCTGCAGCCTGACTTGGCAGAGATGGCTGCCACCTTGTTTTTACATGGATTAGTGTACTGTGCTCTTACTACCACTAGATGGGACAAAAAAGTGTCCATGAACGAGGACAACAGGTCTAAGTTAAGCAGAATGGAGTATACCCGGGGCGCTGGTGGCTTAGTGGCAGAGCAGGCGCCCCATATACAAGGCTGTTACCTTTGCTGCATGTCACTCCCTCTCTCTCTCCCCCCTTCACGCTTGTCTGTCCTATACATTAAAGGCTAAAAAGCCCTAAAAAATATCTAAAAAAAAAAAAAAAAAGAATGGAGTATACCCAAAGTAAGCCCAAAATGTGATGTCCTCATATGAGGACACAGGGTCTCAGGAGGATATTTATATATATGTTTATAAGAAAATACATAGAAAATTATTAGGAAATTGAAGAAACAAAGTGTTAGTGTTTTACTCCCTCACATAAAGATCTATATGCACATTTAAAACTCCCCTCAACCTTGCCTGGAGTAAAATACTGAATACTGGTGGAAAAACATTAAAATTAATGAAATTGGTAGATTAAAAAATGCAGGATTTTAACTGAAGAAACTTCCCACAGGTTACTGAAACCCCTGAAAAATTCCACATGACCTTAGTGTCAGCTCTAGTTGAAGTACAAACTGTATTTATGTCTTTTTAAATAATGTAATTTGTTGTTCTCTTCATTACACGTCTTGTGTTTTTTCAAATCTGTGTGGTGAAGCCAAGGTTTCTAAATACCTGTGGTGATGATAATAAACATACTGTACCCTCATGAATTATGTAGCTACAGTGCACCAGAGGGTATACATCCCTGTGTACCAGACACTATGGATTCTGCACAATGCATCAACACACACACATGCACACACTGCTTTAGAAAGCCTATTGTTTGAGGAGAGTCAGAATCAGCTTTTATGGCCAAGTATGTGTACACATACAAGGAATTTCATTCTGTTTTTGTTGGTATACATACACAGACAAAGACAAGGATAACCAAGGTTGATTACTATAACCACTTGACTACTATGTTCAGCATAGCTGTAGATTTCAGGGGGGACACAGGGGATATGTCTCCCCCAGTATTTAGATCATGTATGTCCGCAACACATTCACATCCCAACTTGTCAAATACCGCAACTTTCACAACTCGGTTTACATTTGTTACATGAACTGTGTCTTTTCAAACTCTGCCTAGGCTTCTGTTTTCATAGGAGATGCACACTTTCTGCTCGATGCATAGTCTTTTTTACGTCCTTAAAACACCTCCTATTTACATTTATGTCCTTGTGCAACAAAAACATGTGGTTAGGTCTAAAAAAAAAAAATGGTTTGGCTCAACGTTCACACAGGAAGCGAGCAGCGGGCTCCCGGGTGAAAGTCCGGGGACTTTCCAGCTCTTTATGTTGTTACAGGTGGCGTTACAATCTGCAGCCAGCCGGTGTGTTTCATAAGGCCGCAACAGGTGCCTCTCTGCGTCAGTATTTTACATGGATGTCCCCTGACATACTTGACAACTTCAGTTGGTGGCTGTTGTGTCAACAACTGCTGCAAAAGATACCTTTGTGCATCAGTATATAACGCCCAGATCACTGACAAAGGGGCAGTATTTGATGAGTTCAGAATGAGAACAGGCTGGTTTCCCCCCAGTGTTAAAACGGAAAACCTACGCCCTTAATGTACAGATATAAATGTGTATTGAAAAGTCTCTTTTTCTCGCTTTCTAAAACAAGAACACAATGAAATCTGTAAACAGTAGTGCCATGGTGCAGGGTACAAAGGCTGATTTAATAAATGGAGAATGATTACTGTAAGAATTTTTATTTGTATATGGCAGTATATACAGAGTCTACAGTGATGCTTATATTAATATGATAGTGATGATATTAACATGTTAAAGAACAGTAAGTATTTAAAGTACGCAGTGTTCTTTATTTTAAACTGTAAAATACTATAGGTTATAATTTACTGGTAAAATGGATGCTGTGTTATTGGGTCATTGCACAGTGCATCAACACATACACTACTCCAACTATTCTACATACCTTTAACATTCTGCTCTAGGCTTGGTAAAGCACATTTTGCGTCATATCTTAATGACAAATGTGTTGAACTGAACTCAACATAATTGAGCTATCGCTACCATTCCATTTAGGTATGTAATGCTAAAAAAAATCCACTAGATGTGTCCTTAAACTGTATGCCTTTTTAGTTTGCCTCCTACAGGAAGTGAAAAAAGTCATTCCAGACATTAGGGCTCTGTGTGGTGCGATTCTCAAAGGTAGACAAATTTCTCCCACATATTACAGTTTCAGGGCGCCTACTGAACAGATTTATGTAACTTTATTTAAAAAAAAAATCTAATAAAGGTCAAATCATTTTTTAAAACATGCGCTACCTTTTTTTTTTTTTCATTTTATGTTACTGAAGCTAAGTTAATGTAATTAAAATTGACGGTTTGCTACAAAATAAAACACTTTTGATAATGCATTGTTGTTAAATGACACTTAATATTGACCTATAAATATTTGCTGAAATTATTGCATAGGTATGATATTTACTGTCTAAAGCTATGCTCAAGCAAATGGTTGAATTGTCCTTTTATGGTAAAGGTAGTGATGCTAAGATAATAACTTATAATAAATATAATAATAAATATGTATATTTCTAAAGGGATGAATAGTCACTGTTGTTAATGCCTTACATTTAATTTACATTTTCATTGTTGTCTCATTTGAGGACACTGGGACTTTATTATCATTGACAATGTTTAAGTTTTTATACTTATCGGGTCTTACTGATTCCAGTAAGCTAGGAGAAATTAAAAATGCATACCAAACAAAATTTCAGGTCTCAAGGATATAGCTTATATAATCAGGTACTAACGACAGAGATAATAGGGGCAAAATTCTGATATAGCCAAGTTATCTTACTTTTATTTAATTTAAAATGCATACTAAAACAAAGGTTCGGCTCTCAGGAGGATATATTTGATAGAAAATAATATATCAGTATGGTTATTTTTTACCATTTCTGAGATGTTTTCAAAGTATTGCAATGGTAAATATCTAGAATAAATGTGTGTAAATAGTATTAGCACTGGTAACACTACTAATCCCATAGTAACAAATTAATGTATGTTCTTAACCTAACATACTACCAGCATTATAAAAATATATGGTTTGCAATTTGGATTTTTGATTTCTGTTTTACAATTACAATGAAGTGACTTCTCAACTATTTTGGTAAGGGCCTATATTTAAATAAAACTATAGGGTCTGTTAGGAAAAAACAACATTTTTTGTAATTATTGACCCAAGGAAATTACAAAATTGCAAAGAATTTTGTTTTATCTTGGTGTGGACATTAAAGGGTGTGCAGTGTATACAGCTGTGTTTATATTTATATGATAGTTATGATATTGACATGTTAAATACCAGTGATTAGTTAAAGTACTCACTGTTCTTTAGCATATATTTTAACCTGTGAAACACTATAGGCTATAGCATACTGTTAAAGTGGATGCTGTGTTAATGCACAGTGCATCTACACATACACTGCTCCCATTAGTCTATATAGCGTCATCAAACCCTACATATATATATTGTGTATGATGATGTTAGTGTATAGGTGTCAGTAACAGCAACATGCAGCAGCCAGGTCTCCATGCTATCACCACAGCAGAGGCTTCTGCCCGCTGCCCTCAGCGTGAACGCGCCTGGACGCTCCGTGCGCACGAGCAGCCCTGTTTGTTTGTGTTGAGAGATTGGAAATGGCGGAGAGCAGAGACCAAAGCGATAACTTGGGTTTGCAAGCGCGAGTGCGCCGTCATTGAAACGCAGATACCACCCACAAGTGATCCTCGGAGTTCCTTACGGTTCGCCACTGCCGATGGGATATAAGTCGGACGCAGCGACAAAGGGATTTTCGGAACAAGGTTTGGATTTAGCGAGCTGCTTAGCTAGCTAAGCTAACCGTGCTAGCAAGCCTGGCGTTAGCTAGCTCCAAGTCGTGTGTGTGATTTTAACTACGCAGGCTTGTTTGTCAACATAAGCTGACGTTAAATTGCTAGCGAGCCAGCTAACACGCAACTTTTCTTTGCCCGGTTTCCAAGCGAACCGACTCGGGTTTACAACATGTTTGCCAAAGCTCACCGCAAAATTATTAATCCTAAGTAACAGTGGATAAAAAAAGTCAAGACGTCTGACTATCCTTGACTCGAGCAGGCAGTAAGTTAAGCTGGTTAGCTAAAGTTAGCTAACTGGCTTGTTTCACGCAAGCTGCCGTCTGCATGGGAATTAACCATCCAGCGTGACAACTTACAGCAGGACCCCGTGGGCTCTTTCTCTTTATATACAAGTTAAACGGACGACTTAACAGGTAAGCACACCGCCGTTAAATGCATGACAACATGTCATCCTCACAAACCATGATTTGACTGGCCGCTGCAGCGGAGCATACGCTCAGGGCCTCCAAACACGCCTGACTCATTGTTGATTTTTCCACACAACGTTGCTACAATTCACCGACACCATCTTCTCCTACTGAATACATAACGTGTGCAGTGCTCGCTGGGACATTTTGCTCCTTCAGCCACCTGCATAGAAACACATCAGGCTGTTGCTTATGTAAGACAGTGCGAACGGCCTCGAGGTGTCGCTGCCATTCATTTGGATTCACCCGCAACTTGCGTCCTGCACGCGAAATCTTAAAGGACATCTTGACCTCTTTGCACGCGGCAAAACGCCTCTGGTTATTTCTAAACAACCCGCACAGGCAACTCATGTGCAGCGCTAGAAAGATGCATTAAAGTGCATCAAGGACACGCAGTTAAATTTGCCTTAGATTGACATCAGTGTAAAACAAAATTCACCTCAATTGACCCCCCTTTGTAGTGTTAGTCGTAGTGTCTAATGGTCCTGATGCAGCTTAAACCCGTGCAGCATCTAAAATTCAGCACGCAGTGGCTTGTTTTAAACACCCTTGGGAGTAAAAGCAGCGGATTTCTGCACAAAACATTGATTTTCAGCAGCTTCAACCAAGTGAATGCATGAGTGTTTAATCCCAAAAAAATCCATGAGGGCAATCAATACCCCTTTGCTGCGTTTTAAGAACAGGCACCTGCATGTTGAGCATTGATTTGACACTGATTTTAAGGGGCAGTGTAGTGTGAGCTATTATTGAAATCTAGATGATTTAAATAACTGAAGTTATTCAGGTCAAAGTTTGCAACTCCACTGACTCTCCTGTGAACAACAAAACAAAAACAGTGTAGTAAGGAAGTGAAAAGTAGTCATAATTGTTTTATCACTTCTTCAAACTACAATAAAAGACCTGGTGTTACTGATTTTGTCTTGTGGCATTTAAACACATCAAACAATACAAACAAGTGTCAGTATCACCTTACTGTGTTTTAGGAACAGCATGTTAAACTCTGATTTTCACCAGTTTTTAAGACAGTGCTGCACTTAGTGATATTCAAATCATTTAGATTGAAGTACATGCATTTTACAGACATGCTCTTAAAGATAAATATACCCAAATTAAATAGCATTTTACACTTTTTATTAAGATTTTCTTGCATGAAAAAAGTCAAACATAATTAGAAGTTAAACGTGGCAATAAAATCATTATAAGCACTGCAGTAGTTATGTTATAAAGGCCAGCTGAGCAGTAGTATTACTTTACAAATTAGGTTAAAGGTGCACGTGTACGCCAGGAGTTGTATGTTTGAAATCTAAACGGTCATCTCTGATAACCAGGCAGAAACAACATTAATCTGTTTCATCTACAACAGAGGGCGAAGGTATTTCAGTCAGACCCATTTCAACGTGTCAAAGTTTTTCCATTGGCTGTGTCGGTGCAAAGCAACTACAACAACAACTCAAAGCTATTTGACCTTATGCAAAGTTAAGTCATGTCAGTGTTTTTTATTTATATAGCCAGGCAAATGTCCAGAGGGATTTTTCTTTATAACATGCAAAGTTTGGATAATGCCCAGACACCACAGCTATCAAGCTATAATTTGATCAGTGGCAATTTGCAATTATTGTTTGTAATATAAAGTAAGTTGCATATAGAATTAACAGAAATCCTGTTTATCATATTGAATAGTTTATTAAAAAATTGTTGTATTGAAATCTTTCCGTTTCTTTATGACTGTTGCAGCTGACTACTTTGTCTTGCCTGGAGTGCGCTTGGTGATAGCAGGTAGTCTATTTGTGTAGTATTGGTATTGCTGACTTTGCCATGTTCTAGGTGAAAGTATTGTAGCTGGGCCTCTCCAGGCTGAGATGTAGTCCAGATAAGAGCCAGGATATAGAGTTCAATGTAGGCCTCGGCTATTCAGTTCAAAGTTTGCGACGTGACTGCCTGGGTACAACCTGACTGTGAGCCTCAAAACAAAAACACTGGAATAAGAAAGTAAAAATAGGCATAATTGTTGTTTTGTTGCTTCTTATCAAACTTCAAAGAAGAGTACCTTTCATTTTGTCTCAGTGCATGTAAGGCACATCAAGCAATACATGCAAGTGAATATCATATAAGGGACAGATGCTGCTTCTCTTCCCCCAAAATGCAACTGGATTGTGGAGCAAAGATGGAGACCAGATCTTGTCACAGCTTGGTGACATGCTAAAGCGCTGTACTTACCTTCATCTGTATAGTTTGTGCATGCTGATGAGTATGCAGATGCAGATGAGGAAGGAAATTGTTGCTGCTTGATGATTTCAGAGGAGCATTGTAAGTCTCTCATTAGAGTATACTCCTTTGTGGTTAATATTTATTCTATTGCAAGCCATGGCATTTCCTTTATTAGCTCTACACACACGCAGTTAGGCCCACCTAAGGATGAGCCACATTTGAGGGAAATTGTTGGGAGTGGGAGCCCTCCTCCTCCCAGCTAAGCTCTGTGTCTGTATGGAGAATGAGCAGCCATTTTAGCACTCAGCACTGCTGCAGCCTGCCTGCCACTGTCAAAGCATTCTTCTGCTGGAGCTGTAGTAGGTTTTCATGTTGTTTGTTTTAAGCCCCCACCCCACTCACACACCCACCCAGGATACCTGCAACCAACCTGTGAAAATGTCACTCTAATGCTTTTACCGAGGGTCAGAACACCCAGCAAATAATGATGATTGTTGTCTGTGGTGGCAGATGGATCAGTGAGGCTCACCCGCCACACTGGCTGGCAACTTTTTGAGATGATAGCACGTGAATGTCTCAGCGTATACAGTTGTCAGTGTTTGCCTTTTAGTGTTATATAACTGTAAAATCTATCTTTGATAGCAGCACAGTGTTTAATATTTATGTCATACTACTTAAAGAACCAAAACGTGATACCTAACCAGAACCCGTATCTCTATATCAACATCTTGTGCTTCAATTTTTAGACACTTCTTTAGTCTTTTAACATGTTAGTATTTTTTATCTTCATCATCTTTCTTAATGATAAGATGTCACATTTTGCTCTGTCTGTAAATATTGTCAGCCTCTTTTGATGGATGATTCATTCCAATACACAGTGAGGTGTTTGATGCCATTGCTGTGTCTTTACCTGGTTGTCCTCAAAGAGACTTGTTTGTCCTATTCTTAAGCATGAAGCGCAACTCAGGCTGCTGACATGTCTTTTTAAGATCCATTTTAAGATCACTGTCAGCATTGGGAAGCAGCTTGTAGAGTCAGTCAGGGTGCCATGGATATTGTACAGTGATCATGGATCAAAAGATGAGACTGAGAGATCTAAATCAATGCCCTATGGTGTTAATGTAACAAGTGAATATCTCACTAACTATTGGTTGGATTGCCGTGAAGTTTGGTACAGATATTCATGGTGCCCAGAGGATCAAACACACCGACTTAGGTGATCGTCTGACCCTTCCTGTAGCAACACATGTAGATGAAAGTTTTCACTTGCCCTGTAAAATATCTTGGTGGATTGGCTCAGAATTTTGCACAGAAATGCATGGTTCCCAGACAATTTTTGTATTAATGAAAAGTCTCAAACTATTGGATGGATTGCCATGAAGCTTGGTAAAGACATTCATGCTGTCCTGAGGATGAATGTAATAGTTTTATAAACCTCCCTCCAGGATTATGCAAGCTGTTTGGGGGATATTTGCAGCCTGAAATACCGGATTTTACAGTGGTTTTTCTAAAAAATTGTGATGCATGTTGCAGTGTTTGCTGATCAGTGGCGATCAGTCATCAGTCTGATGAATTCAAGTTCAGTATAGACCCTCAGGAAAGCAGCTCAGCCGCGCTTCCAATTTTCCACAGTTGCCACTTCAAGTATTGCAGAAAAACAAATCCCCTGCGGCCCAAAAACATTTTCCCCTTAGGCAACCATTTTATAAGAGATGTCTGTAAAACTGTTGTCAGGACGCCTTGGACTGCGAACAAAATCAAATATTAGTCATTTTGTTATGAAGTTCCATGGATCCATGGAGGTTTTATATTTGTTAAACTTTCCTTGAGCTAGGAAACGCAGTTTAAAGATCTGTGATGTTATCACAATATAAAGTTAATGAGCTGAGTGGGAACTAGTGGGCAGAGATAGGAGAAACAGCACTGCGCATCTTCAGTGGGCTGCATACCGCGGAAGTAAATCCGGAAACTAGAAACTTTTTGTGGTGTAGGTGCCAGGCGAGCAATTCCATTGGATTGAATTGGTGCCATCTTGTGGTGTGATGTCTAGTTATTATTATACAGCTATGGTTTTTGTTTTAAGATATCTGCGATTGGCAAAGGTTTAGCAATCTTTTTATGTTCTCTGAGGTCCAAAATTAAGATAGTGGTGTGGTTAGGTCAACCACTTCGGGCTGGTATACAGGCAAGCTAAGATAGCTAGGCTATACTAGCTTGCATAGCACAATGCATTTACAGCTTTGGTTAATTGCAGTAATGGTAATGCTAATTTATTCTAGCAAAAAAAAACAGGTTTAAAACCATTAAAACAAAATGTACTTACTGTAAAACGGAATATCTGACTCCTTAGAGTTTGTTTTTAGTACAACCAAATGTTAAACAAGACCTTTTAGTCAACCAAAACATTACAATTAACTTTCATGAACTGAAAACACACTGAAATAGTGACAGCTACAACTACACCTATACAGTGCCATGTGACGTGGAGTGGCCATGCTGTAATATGGGCTTTCTCAGCCCATTAAAGAAAATCACTGATTTTGGAGCTCAGGAGCGGCTGCTGATTCAAGTGCGACACCTAGTGGTACAATTTGGTATACAGGTTTGGTCTGATGTTCGGCTCAATGTAACACCAGTTTAAAAATTTTTACAACAGCCCAAAACTCCCATGTTATCACAAATCAAAGCCTGCAGACGATACAAGCTGTGTTTGAAGTCGTCTGTATCAACATGCAATG